GCACTCGCGGCTCCATCGCTGCTCACTGAGTCTGTGCCTCCCTCTGATGGCAGCAGAGCCCGGCTGAGAATTGGGATCAGCTGTGGGAGATCCTGGGAATTGTCCCAGGAAATATCCCAGGAAATATCCTAGGAATTATCTCAGGAATTATCCTGGTATTTCCCCGCTCCCACCTGGGCAGGAGCAGGAGGGGCTCGGAGTTCTGGGAATGCTGCACTCAGAGTGCAGGGATGGGAATTTTCCTGATTCCCTCTGGATTTTGCTCTGCTTGTTGGGAGGTCTCACCTCTGGATTGGCTGCTGAGGCTCCAGGGGGAATCTCCAGAGAATTTCCAGGGATGTTTTGTAGGGAGGATTCCCAGGGGGAATCTCCAGGGATGATCTCCAGGAAGGAGATTCCAGAGAGGATTTCCAGGGATGATTTCCATGGAAGTTCTCCAGGGATAATGTCCAGGGATGATTTCCAGGGAAATTCTCGAGGGATGATTTCCATGGAGGATTTCCAGGGAAATTCTCCATGGATGATCTCCAGGGATGATTTCTAGGGAAATTCTCCAGGGATGATTTCCAGAGAAGTTCTCCAGGGAAGTTTTCCAGGGATGATCTCCAAGGAGGATTTCCAGGGAAATTCTTCAGGGATGATTTCCAGGGAAGTTTTCCAGGGAGGATCTCCAGGGAAGTTTTCCATGGAAGTTTTCCAGGAATGATCTCCAGGCAGCTCCCAGTGCCCTTGGAATTGCAGCCCTGGGGCTGGGAGGGGGATCAGGACTCTGTGGGATCAGGGTCAGGATCCTCTCCTGACCCCAACAGAAAGGATTGGAGGCAGGAAAATTCCCTGAAATCCAGAGCCCCAAGGTTGCTGCAGTCCAAAGGTGACTCAGCCAGGTGAGTCCCACCTGTCCCTGGAATTTTCCTCCTTTTCCCTCTCCTTAGTGCAGAATCCAGGATCTCCCACAACCAGGGAGTTTTTTGTGTCATCACTGCAAATTATCCAGGGAAAACTTCATTTTTTTTTCTTTAATTTGTCACTTTGTGCAGCTTGAGTAAAACTGGGATCAATTAAAAACCATGGGATGTGTGAAAACCCAGTTCTGCTGGAAAACACACAGCTGGATAAAAATATCACTTCCAATAACCCCAAATAAAATGGGATCAAAGGGGAAATATTTTCTGCTGTAGCTAAACAAATATTTTTGTTTAGTCTGGGATCTGGGGGTGTTTCCTTCTTTTAATCCTCAATTCCAAAGAGCAAGAAAAAAATAGCAGCTTTTTTCTGTATTTCAAAGCTTTTTATGTAAAATGTGTTGTATTTTTAAATTAAATTAACCCATTAAATCTAATTAGTAAAATAGGAAAAACCAGATTCTGAGGAGTATTTGAGATTTATTGGCATTGCTTTGATTCTGGAGTTAGACCTGCTTGAAAAAAAATCTCTTTAAGTTCATATTCATGGTCAGGATTATGGATAAGCAATGAATCCATAAAAATTTGCACTCAAAGATTATCCAAGAAATATTTCCAACGTGTTTTTGTTTAATGGATCGTTCACAAGATGTTATTGGTCATTTAATGCTTTTATTTCAGTGATTTTAAAACTCTTAGTGGAAAAGATTTTGTCTTCAAGGAAAAAAAAAAAAGGGAATATTTTAGGCAGAGCTCGCAGGGAAGTTTTCCTTTCACCTGATTTGTAGAATCATAGAATTCCCTGTTTCTTTTATTTTTATCTGATTCTCTGCTGTTTCTAATTCTTGTGTGTGTAGGGTTTTGGGGGTGGCATCGAAAGAATTCCAGCACATTTTAATTCTCAAGTGAAATTCCAGATTATTGCTGATAAAATTCCATAGGAATTGGCAGCTCCAAAGCTGGGTGTGTGCATTTAAATATGAGAGGGTAGCAATAAATGGAAATAGAGAATTGTAAAATCCTGAATTATCCCTGAAGGATGGTGATGTTCCCACTTAAAACTGGGAAACCTCCCCCCCCTGCCAAGGTGACAGGGCTGGAAATTGTTCCTGCTGCTGGAATCACCTTTTTTATTAAAACCCAACCCTAATCCAAGATTTACTTCCTTTTTTTCCACCCTGACAGCATCAAAAGACTCACCGTGCACTGAGTTAGTATTGATTTTATTTTATTTTATTTTTTTTTTTTTTTGGTCTGAAGCCTCGGAGCTTTCTGACTCCGTTATTTTTGATTTTCCTATGAAATACAAATCCCTGGCCCTGACAGCTGACAAACAACAGCTGGAAGTCGTTTTATCTCCCAATAATGTGTTTGTCCAACCCCCCCCTGCACTAATGGGCTCTGCTTCCTCCACTCCATTTTCCCCCTTAATGTCACTGATGTCATGGGCAGCCCTGAGTGATTTTTTTTTTTTTTTTGCCCCTTCCCTAATTTGTCATTCCCATCACTTTTGTGACATCCTGGAGCTGGCTGGGATTTTGTGAAACTGGAGTTGAGCTGTGGATGTGAAATCTCTTTTTTCCTGCCTTTTTATCCCTATTTTTTTTTTAATCAGGATCCTTTCTTTACCCCCAGACCAGGTTTATCCAAATTCCCTGTGAATTCTGATTCTCCCTCTCCCCAGCAGGCATTGGGGTATTTGATTTATCCCAAAAATCCCGAGGAATCTGTTTTAATGGAGAAAGTTTTCAGCACCAAGGCAGCAGGACTTGCAAACACAAATTTAAATGTAGCAAATTCCTTTTTTTTTTTTGGTTTTTTTTTTGGGTTTTTTTTTACCTGGTGTGGATTTTTCCCAAAATCTGCTCCAGGTATGGCTGGGATATGAAATCCTGGATTCCATAAATCCCATAAATGCCACAAATGTCCCCTCCCTGTGCAGACCAGGCCACCCTCCTGGACCAGGTGAGGCGAGTGAAGGAAATCGAGGCCATCGAAAGCGACGCCTTCATCCCACAGACCTTCAGGTCCAGCAAAGAAGTCAAAAAGGTACAGTTTCATTTCAAAAAAGTGCATTTTTATTTCAAAAAGGTACATTTTCATTTCAAAAAGGGACAATTTTATTTCAAAAAAGTGCATTTTTATTTCAAAAAGTGCATTTTTTATTCCAAAAATGTGCATTTTTATTTCCAAAATGTGCATTTTTATTTCAAAAAAGTGCATTTTTATTTCAAAAAGGTGCATTTTCCTTTCAAAAAGGGACATTTTCCTTCCAAAAGGTGCATTTTTATTTCAAAAAGGGACTTTTTTATTCCAAAAATGTGCATTTTTATTTCAAAAAGGTGCGTTTTTATGTCAAAAATGTGCATTTTCCTTTCAATAAGTGACATTTTCCTTTCAAAAAGCGACATTTTCCTTTCAAAAGGGGACGTTTTTATTCCAAAAATGGACATTTTCCTTTCCAAAAGGGGCGTTTTTATTTCAAAAAGGTACATTTTCTTTTCCTTCCAAAAAAAGTGGCATTTTCCTTTAAAAAAGGACATTTTCCTTTCCAAAAGGGACATTTTCCTTTCCAAAAGGTGCATTTTCCTTTAAAAAAGGACATTTTTCTTCCAAAAATCTACATTTTCCTTTCAAAAAAAATGACATTTTCCTTCCAAAAGGGACGTTTTCAGTCCCTTTTTTGCTGCATTATCCCCTCAGAGCCAGGGGGGGCTGCACTGTTGAGGATTTTCCATCGATGAAGGAGCATTGCCAACCTGAAATCCACCTGAAATCCCACCAGGGGCTCCCTGATGGGTTCAGGAAATGTAAATGTGGCAAAATTTATTTTAATTTTTCTGGTTTGAAGACCCTTTTTTTTTTTTTTTTTTTTTTTTTTTTTTTTTTTTTTTTTTTAAAAGAGAAGAAGAAGAATTAAAATCCCAAAGTAATGAGAAATTCACTTTGTAATGAGAGTGGAGATGATTTTATTGCTGCTTCACTAAACCAAACTTTAGGTGTGAATTTATTCCCTGACAGGAACAGCCTGGTTGGTTTTCCATCAACTTTCCAGAAACCCAACAGGACAAATCCAGATCCCAAATTTTCCCTGAATTTTGGCCACCAGCTCTCAGAGGATTTGGGATGTGTTTATTTTCCCACCTGGCAGTGAATTTTTGGGATTATTTCTGGTGGTTTCCCCAGGAATTTGCAATTTTTTGCTTTTCCAGGAGTCCCCCCAAGGAGCTGCTGCAGCATCTTCAGGCAGTGATCCAAAATCCTGGTGGTGTTTTCCAATCTCTCTCCCTATACTTTTATTTTTCTATATTTATACTTTTATCCTTTATCCCTGTCCAGTATTTCCTGCTGAAGATGCTGAGAAGTTTTTCCATGAGCATCCTTTCAGGGATGGGTTCAAATCATTTTATTTCAACATTTATTCGGCCACATTTGGGATTTTTTTTTTTGGGGGGGGGGGATAAAAGATTCCAAATTTTATGTGTGTTTGTGTTTCTTTTTCAGTCAACAGAACCTCCTGAACTCCAACACGAGCCTGGCAATGTGGGAGCAGGAGCCACTGAGGCAGCAGCTCCTGACAAAGATCCCCCAGCTGCCAACATCCCCACTGCCATCAAATACCAGGATGACAATTCCTTAGCACATCCAAATGTGAGTTTTTAGCCCATTTTGGAATTTTTTTTTTTAGCCAGAATTGATCTCACATCTTTAGGTTTAGGGCAGGGTTGTGTGACCCCACAGTCTTTGCTTTGGGACACAGAGGGTCCCACTCCTCCCAGCACCCAGCAGGGAGTTCACCTGGAGTTTTGGAGTTGTGAATTAATTTTATAACAAAAATTGAATTAATTTTATCATGAACACAGAGCAATTAATGGTGTAAGCACTGGGGAGTGGTATAATCACTGGGGAATTTAAGATGAATAAAAATTCAGGACAATTTGGTTTCTGTACTTGGAAACTTGGTGGAAAAATCAGAACTTGCCCATTTTGCCAGCTTGCAAAGTTTTAAACATGGGATAGATTTAAGATAATTTTAAATCCTCCTGGCTAAACTTGAGCAAATCCTTTTGGGAAAGCTTTAGAGGGAAATAACAGGAGTTCTGTCGAGGTTTTTCAGGACTTAGCAAGTTTAAAGTGAAGAACTCAGTGTGAGTTGTGCAGAACGGACACAGGGAACAGAGATCAGGACCTGTCCAATGCTGAATTCCATTGCAGCTTTGCCTTTCCAATAATTCTCATCTTCAAGACCCCTCCCAAGCCCGACTATTTTAGAACCCCCTAAAAACCCTCAGCTTTTACCGATGTTTTTTGGATCCCCTTTGTCTTGAACCCCCCCCCGAGCTTTTCCTGTGGGCACTGAGGGAGGCGTGGGAGTTCCAAGAGATGGTGGCAGAGCTGGGGTTGCTGATGGTGCCAACTTTTGTCCCTGTGGCAGCTGTTCATGGAGAAGGCCGAGGCAGAGGAGAGGTGGTTCCAGCGTTTGGTGGCTCTGCGCCAGGAGAGGCTGATGGGGAGCCCCGTGGCCTGACAGCAGCACCCGGGATTCCTGCACCCACATCCCCTTCCCTGCCTCACACGGCATCTGGATGAGCTGTGCAGGCAGGGAGGGGTTCACTGGATAACCAGGGGTGTTCTGGCCTGATTCCCCTGGAAAAACAAGGAATGTTCTGGCCTGATTCCCCTGGAAAACCAGAAATGTTCTGTTCTGCTCCACCTGGATAACCAGGGATGTTCTGTCCTGTTCCTCCATTTCTGGATAACCAGGGATGTCCTGTCCTGCTTCACAACCAGGAATGTTTTCCTGTTCCACCTGGATAACCAGGAATGTTCTGTCCTGCTCCACCTGAAAAACCAGAAATGTCCTGGCCTGATTCCCCTGAAAAACCAGGAATGTTCTGTCCTGCTCCACCATTTCTGTATCCATTCCTGGATAACCAGAAATGTCCTGTCCTGCTCCACCTGAAAAAACAGAAATGTCCTGGCCTGATTCCCCTGAAAAACCAGGAATGTTCTGTCCTGTTCCATCTGGATAACCAGGAATGTTCTGTCCTGCTCCACCATTTCTGTATCCATTCCTGGATAACCAGAAATGTTCTGTCCTGTTCCATCTGGATAACCAGGAATGTCCTGTCCTGTTCCACCTGGATAACCAGGAATGTCCTGGCCTGTTCCACCTGAAAAACCAGAAATGTCCTGGCCTGATTCCCCTGAAAAACCAGGAATGTTCTGTCCTGTTCCATCTGGATAACCAGGAATGTCCTGTCCTGCTCCACCATTTCTGTATCCATTCCTGGATAACCAGGAATGTTCTGTCCTGGTTCTCTCCAAGCTGACTGCTGGGACACTCAGGTGGGCAGGGCAGCACAGCCAGGGGCATTTCCTTCTTTTGGAGGGAATTCCTCAGGTGCAGAACACCTGGCAGCCCATGAAACATCATTTAATCCTTCCCAATCCAAAAAAATTATATAGAGCCAGGTGGGGACTGGGAGGTGAAGTGGGAAACTGAGGCTCAGGGCTGGCATTGCCAGGCTGGGATGGGTGGTGCCATCCCTGTCCTGCAGCTGGAGAGGATCCAGGGTCCATCCCTGAGATCCCTTCTCCATCCCTG